GATAATTATTAATTAAAAAATGTGACCACAAATTAAAAAATTAAAATGGATAAATTTGTCAATAAAATTAAAAAATTATAATCCACTAGCGGTTTGGTACAAAAAGTTACATAAACTAACTTTTTTAATCCACTAGCGATTTGGACCCTAACCGCTATCCGCTAGTTTCAAACCACTGAATAAAAATTTTACCAAACACTTTAGTTGTAGCGGTTTCAAAATATATAAATTTACCAAACACCTATATTTAACGGTTTAAGTAAAACCGCTAACCGCTACCCCAAAACCGCTTTACCAAACGGGGCCTTAGTAAGTCTAAGTCCTAGTCTAATTAGAATAGGAATTTTATTTCTTGTTGATTTAGGAATTGTAGGATTATAAATATGCCTGTGAATTCTTTGTCAAGGTAATAGAATATTTAGAAATTTGCAGCAAAAGCTGTCTCTTGAGATTGTGTGATACAATCTTGCTTGTGCAATGCAAGTATGCCACCTAGGTGTGGCTCCTAGGGTTTTTCTACCTTTCTCATTATTTTTCTATTTGTTTGCCTCTTTCCATACCCTAAACAGCAACTTAAAAGTTAAAACCCTATTTCACTGTTCAAGCATACTGTTCACATCCTAAATTTACAGTGAACAGCCTCCAAATTGCCAAGCCCACCATACCCCCTAACCTGTCCCACGTCACAATCTATATATAATTACAGAGAGTAAGGGGAAGCTAAAGCTATGTGCTGCAAATAGCCAATTAGTCATGAAAACCACAAATACTTCTAATAAAGGAAAATGCAATCCATAAAGGTATAGATACCTCTGTTATTGTTTCGTAAACATCATCTCCAGAAAGAGGAGCCTTCTTCTAGATTTCTTGTTGAAGTAGTTATACATGATTCTAATCCTGCACCAATCATATGAGTCAGTTACTCCTTCCGATTTAAACATTTCATATTAAACAGAACACTGTAGGATTTAGTTAGACGAACAACTCATGTTTGTGAGAAGGACTTGTACTTTTAGGAAGGTTCGAAACAGCATTTCTGGCCACTAACTGTGACAAAGATGAGATCATGAGAGAATAAAGCCAATCAACCCAAATTGCAAGATTAACAAAGCACCAGACATATTAAGCAAGAGATTTACATATACAAAAAGGTATAGAGCAATAAGAATCAAGCCTGCTAAGCAAAGCCAACATGTTAACAATTAGTCTCTAACATTTCAGTTGCTAATAAAAACCATAAGCTTAATTAGATTGATTGGTAGTCATAGCAGTGGCAATACATAAGTCTATGCAGCTAACTCATCAACCAACAAGATGCCAACACCGACTTTCTAAGCCAAGAGAAGAACGGGTCACAGTGTAGTACATTTTGTCCTCCTTTTTCCTCAAAACTTATCTGATCAGCAAAGCAAAAAATCCTACCCTGAAATTCTAAGGATTGTAAAAAGTATGGTACAAGAACTAGGAGTGAGTAAAGATTACAATCAAAGAAAATTTTAGTTTCCAACACTGTCAAAGCAATTAAACCAGCATACATTGAAAGAAGAGACCAAAGATGAGCCACCACCCATATAAATATCCTGGGAAGCAATGAATCTCTAATCCTA